TTGATTTTAGACATTGTGATATACTTACTTTCTATTACTTTCGTGGTCGACGGAGTTTGTTGCAGTTATGGCATCGCTATTCAAGAAAAAGACCGTAGATGGTAAGTTTCTTGCTGTTGCTCTGAGGGCTTGTTTGTTTGGTCAGAACCGCCCAGCAACACTCTCACGTCAATCATCGACTGGTTTCGTTAATACTACAACTCTTTAACACTATTCATTTGTTTAATACATGAAATCTCTTTTGAGATATTTTTGGCCATTCGAGATATTTTTGGTCCACTATGCTAACTAACACAGAAGTGTCTTTTATTCTGGAATGTGTTTGGACAACTGCAACCGAAAACATTTAGAATTTTCTTGATCTTAACTTGAGACTAACAGCTAGTACTTAAAATATTGGGTCAAAGATGGTCTATAAAACAAATTGAATCGTTTGCAAAATCAATGGGCCATTCCTGTAACTTTAAATGGTCTAAAATGACCTATTATTGAAGTAGTCCCCATACATTAATTTGTTATCTTACTCAGGCATTGATAATTTAAATGGTGATCGATAACTATATCTCCTCTCATAATACAGATGTTATTAAAGAACAGAACAAAGAGTTGCGGGGAACGCAGAGACAGATTGCAAGAGACCGGACAGCACTGGAAAAACAGGAAAAACAGCTGGTGAGATTCCCCACCCATCAAAGTGACGTGAATATGATGCCAAATGTTCCCCTTTCTCACCACTGATGTGTGTGAGATCACGAGGTTATGTCATTAATGTCACAGAGGGCCTTAGTGTGTCAAAAGTTTATGACTAACAGCTCGTGATTCTGTTTCGAGTTTAGATCAGGCCTGTTTGTGCCATTGTGACGGTGTATCTTTCAGAAGTTGCTGGTGGAAACTTTTATACTTTTCTTTTAGCCACCACCATTCATACGCTCATACCAGTGTAAACATAACTATCATTGTACGCTGTTAAAATATCCTGGAAATTGTGCGCTAAAAGTGGCAGATGAGGTTGCCAGAAATTCAAGTTTATAGGTATTGCAGAATGACATATTGGTGGCTCTATATTTTACAAACATATATTTCATTAAAGGGATACTCCACCCCAAAATGAAAATTTTGTCATTAATCACTTACCCACATGTTGTTCCAAACCAGTAAAAGCTTAGTCTGTCTTCGGAACACAATTTAAGATATTTTGGATGAAAACCGGGAGGCTTGTGACTGTCCCATTGACTGCCAAGTAAATTACACTGACAAGGTCCAGAAAAGTATGAAAAGCATCGTCAGAATAGTCCATCTGCCGTCACTGGTTCAACCGTAACGTTATGAAGCGACGAGAATACTTTTTGTACGCAAAGAAAACAAAAATAACTACTTTATTCAACAATTCGTCTCCTCTGCATACAGAAAGCGTGTCTCACAGCGCACGAGTACTCTTTCGTGTCGCATGAACGGAGAATTACACACAAAATGATGTCGAATTGTCAGTTTTGATGAGTATTCACGTAAACACAGTTGATTACGTCTTAAGTAAACGTAAACAGTAGGGAGAACGTGTATCAGTACATTGCATCCATTGCAGCTGTGCATTCGTTTTTAAAGGGATAGCAGCCTAATTTAGAGTCATTGATGTTAATCAAACAACAAAAGAAAGACAGAAAATCACGCACTGCTCTTGACTGAAAAACTTTAGGAGCCCTAAAGATTAATCTAAATTTATTTATAGAAATAAATATGTCTGCTTGAAAGAATGAAGAATATGGTAAACAAGTTGCTATAAAGAATGCATAATTAACCTATATTAACATTGGTATTTCATTAAAAAGAAGACCATGTTCTTGATCTTTATGAGAAGTGGTTTTATTTCATTTTAACATAAAGGCATGTTGTGTGTCACCGCAGTTAAATCGGTGTCTATCATTATAAAACCTTAAAATCAAACCTATATAATGAGTTTGGAATTTTTTTTCCAGAGAAATGCTTAATAAATGCACTGTAACTAAACCCATTCGATTTTAGTTGACTAAAACGATTCAGATGACTAAAATATGACTAAAACGAAATGGTATTTTAGTCAAAAGACTATGACTAAAACTAAATCAACTGTCAAAATTAACACTAGAATAAAGTCGTTATTTTAGTTTTCTTCTCGTGCAAAAAGTATTCTCATCACTTCATAACGTTATGGTTGAACCACTGATGGCAGATGTACTATTCTGACGATGTCTTTCATACTTTTCTGGACCTTGTCAGTGTAATTTACTTGGCAGTCAATGGGACAGTCACAAGCCTCCCGGTTTTCATCCAAAATATCTTAAATTGTGTTCCGAAGACGAACGAAGCTTTTACGGGTTTGGAACGACATGGGGTAAGTGATTCATGACAACATTTTCATTTTGGGGTGGAGTAACCCTTTAAGAGATTTAATTTTCATTATTGAATTAATCTACTTGAACAACCAAAATCTGCTTTTTACCTTTAAATGTACTGATAAAGATCATAAAAATACAGGTTATTATAAAGGTAAATTATAAAGCCATATGATGACTGAAGTTCATCGTAAGTGGCCATGTCCTTAAAACATGACCAATACTCATATATAGACGCTAAAACAATGCAATAAACATGAACTAAATAACAAAAATATAAGTATTTCAACTAAATAAAAGAAAATTAAACAAAAATCACCCTAATGTGCATTGCTGATAACAAAATATTAATAAACAAAGTTATTCATATAAAATACTATATAATCATATATGAATAAATACACGTGACAGTTCTTTTTACAGTAAAATTAAATGTAATGTGACGTTAAACCATTTGCAGTTCACTATATTTGCAAGGTAACTTACAGTTAACCAAACTTCGTCTTACTGTAGCATTTTTATGGTATGTATGTATGTATGTGTGTATATGTGTGTATTATTTTTATTTATTTTTTATTCTTTACAAATGTAAAAGAAAATCACATAGAATTACTTAAAAATCACATTGAAATCATCTCACATACACTAGGCTATTTCACTTTAATATTTTCTGTTCTTATCCGTGAAGCACTTTGCATTTTGCTGCATTTTATCTAATAAAAGTATTATACAAGTAAAACACAATCTTCTACTCTCACCAATAACTCTCATTCTGGATAACTGTGTAATTCAATTCTAATGCCAGTAGGTCCATCACTAACTGTTTTCTACTATTTGCTTTCTTTATCGCAGGAGATGGAAATCAAGAAAATGGCAAAGACCGGGAACAGAGACGCCTGTAAAGTTTTAGCCAAGCAGCTTGTTCAAGTGAGGAAACAGAAAACACGTACATATGCCGTCAGCTCTAAGGTCACCTCCATGTCAACACAAACCAAGCTAATGAACTCCCAAATGAAGATGGCTGGTGCCATGGCTACAACCACCAAAGTAAGACCCTTCTGTCTTTTTAAACTCATGATAACATTTATAAAAATTTGTCCCAAGCCCCATCAATTGTAGCTCAGTTCATTTTAGGTAATCCTGACAGTGATTTAAAGCTTAACTCTTAAGTTAGGTTGAATATTGTGTGAAACTGCTGTGATTTCACATTTAAGTAAATTGGGCCGTTCATTTTGTAGTCCTAAAAACCAAGGAGGATTAGCATTTTCGAGTCCTGGTTTCCCTCTGGAATTTCTAATGGGTTTTTTGAGTTATGGTTTCCGATTTATGAGTAAAATGGGGACTGTGGTGAACATTACCGTAAGCAACTTTCCTATTTTGTTTGTGAAATTCTCTTTAATGTGAAAGGATCTTAAAGTAATTTTAACCTTACTCATAAATGGAAAACCACTTTTCACAAACCCCATTATAAATTCCCAAGGGAAGTCATAGCTCGAAAATGCTAGTTTGTTTCCAGCTAGGACTGCAAATTGACATTGTGCGCAACTTAACAGCTCTATTAATCATGCATGTTATGACCTGTGTGGTTTTGGTTTTATTCGAATTTGTACTAATTTGAGCGTATATGTTGGTCTATAAATGCATATCTGGCACAGTATAGTGGCATGTCGATACACAACCATTATTCTTTGCATAAGTAGCCTAAAGTGCAAAATTCTAAAATGGGCATGAATCAAACAGTGGCTCGTTTGTTTGTCTCTGCCTTTCTCAAAACAACTTACAGACAATGCAAGCTGTCAACAAAAAGATGGATCCGAAGAAGACAATGCAGACCCTGCAGAACTTCCAGAAAGAGACAGCAAAGATGGACATGACAGAAGAGATGAGTAAGATGTTTTTATTTATTTATTTATTGTTATTGTGGGTGATTTTGTTAGTGTGTTTTATAAAATAATGTCATAAGAAGTAAGGATGCTTTTTTCCCCTTTTTTTTTACCAAAGTGACTCCAATGAGGAATAGCTTGTTGTTTCCAAAATAAAAGAGTAAATGAGTGCACACTAATATCATTGCTCCAAAATAATTTGTACACACTGCTACCATTCAAAAGATTAGGGTCATTATTAATCGTGCAGCCCTATCATTATGATTGAAAAGAAATTAATACTTTTCAGGAAGTATGTTTTAAATTGATAAAACATGACAGTAAAGACTTCAAAAGTTTGGGATTGTTTAAATAGATTAATACGAGACCCATTTTTAATATATATGGGCTTAGATATATCCTCTATTGATTTTACCAAAGTGACTCCAATGAGGAATAGCTTGTTGTTTCCAAAATAAAAGAGTAAATGAGTGCACACTAATATCATTGCTCCAAAATAATTTGTACACACTGCTACCATTCAAAAGATTAGGGTCATTATTAGGGCTGCACGATTAATCGTGCAGCCCTATCATTATGATTGAAAAGAAATTAATACTTTTCAGGAAGTATGTTTTAAATTGATAAAACATGACAGTAAAGACTTCAAAAGTTTGGGATTGTTTAAATAGATTAATACGAGACCCATTTTTAATATATATGGGCTTAGATATATCCTCTATTGTTATTAGAGGGTTTGTATAATGAGGTTTAAATATGTGAGACATATTGGAGTACAAATATGTAAGGCATATTGTTGGTACGATTATGTCATTATTTCATTTCATTCTCAAATTGATTTAATGGAGTGGTGAGCCATAAATCATTTTTATTTATTTTTTGTCTTGTTCGATTTTAAGTTATGTTTGTAATATTTGAAAATTTAATAAATATATATATAAAATAGATTAATACGTTTATTCAGCAAGGATGCATTAGGTTGGTCAAAATGTAAAGACATTTATGTTACAAAAGATTTACATTTCAAACAAATCCTGTTCTTTTGAGCTTTCTATTCATCGAAGAATTCTGGGGAAACATGTATCACATTTCCACAAAAATATTATACCACTTTTTACACAACTAGGCTAGTACCGATACTTTTATATTTGATACTTGCCGATACAGAGTACCGATATGATACCTGTATTTTCATTGCATTTGTAATTTTTTAAAATATTGAGTACAGGAACCAAAAGAATATGTATAATGTTTGTTGGCTTAGTTCATTTAGCAAATAGATATTTCCTTCAGTTATTTTCACACTGATTATGCTTATTAAAATGTATTTTTTAGTTTAGTTTTAAGTTTTTGTTACCATCACTGTTAATTGTTTTGCTCTATGGTACTACATCTTTAATTTAATATCTGCTCCATTGCAGTATTAGTTCTGTAATCACAAGATGTTTTGCTGTAATAATGTAGGGACATACTCCTTATATATAAATCTTGTAACTGCGATTAACATATTTTCAGAAATATAAAAGTTGCGTTTTTTTGTTTTCATCTGAAACGTCCTGCAACTTATATTCCAAAGCGACACATATAATGCAGAACACTCATGAAGCAAGCAAAACATGCGCAACGCGTGCACACATTTGAATTGGTGCAGAATAAGAGACGTGTATAGCCTAGCACATTTCACACAGGCTGCTAGTTTCACTTTCGCCATAGTCGTGTTGCTTGACATTTAAAATAAATGTTTATAGTGAATTCCCCTATAAATAATTTTTATATTTATGATTTAGTTTTAATCCAAATGATGAGTCTCTTGCTCTCTCTCCTTACTGTTATGTAACTTGTGCATTGGTTTACTCGCTCGTTTTTGACATATCTGACCGAACTACAAACTTTCCAGTGATGTCTGTCAGAAAGGGATACTCTTTGCTTATCAGCTCGAGACCATCAGATATACAGGCGTGAATAATGAATGTTTAACATTATTTTAATTGCATACATATACCTTCTAGACATCCTTAATATTTAATAACTCCATTCTACTCTCTGTTGTTCTGTTGTCAGTGTTTCTTAGTCTGGATACAGCACTGTTCACATGCTGTGTGGTATTGGGGCATTTTAACAAGTAGCCTACGAGTACAGAATCGCAGTGTCCGGCCCGATATTGATACCAGTATTGGTATCGGTGCATCCCTAATTAGAAATGTTTCTTGAGCTGCAAATCAGCATATAATAGGATGATTTCTGAAGGGTCATGTGACACTGAAGACTGATAATTGCTGATGGAAAAGTAGCTTTACCATCACTGGAATAATAAGAATATTCCTAGGAATAAATTTAAATTTTAAAATAAATTCACACAGAAAACAGTTATTTTAAATAATAATAATAATATTTCACTGTATAAATGCAGCCTTAGTGAGCATAAGAGACGATTGTGAACACAAAAAAATATACAAATAAATAATAATACACATTGTAGCTTTTTAACATTTTGGTTTCAGGTGCACTTTTTTTACATTGTTTTCTGCACCTGTAGCCAACTTGAGTTGGATGTGTATACTGTTCCCATTGTTTCTGAACAAACCACAACATCATTTGATTGTAATGCTTGTTTTTTAGACCTTTTTTGCTATGTTTCTGCCTGCTTACAGTGAATGACACACTGGATGAGATCTTTGAGGATTCTGGTGATGAGGAAGAATCTCAGGACATTGTGAATCAGGTGTTGGATGAAATTGGAATTGAGATCTCAGGAAAGGTAAGAACTGAAATATTATATGGGCATCAATCAAACCATGTTGAGGCACCAGATTCAATAAACAGACTTATTACTGTAGTGCATTAGTGTTGAAATCCATTTGTGTCCATTAAGGCTGCACAGTATATTGAGTTAAAAGAAAATGCATTGCAATATGATTTCAATGCATTGATCCATAGACTTTAAGGAGATGCAGAGAAAATACCTGGCATACGAGTATGCATATGTGTATCATATGTGACAACTAGGCAGCAGTAATGCAGTGTGAAGCAGAGAACCTACAGCTGAACCTACAAATGTTTTTGCATTCAAATAAGGCCAAAATGAGGAAGTACCTCGGTTGTGTGGGAGTATTTTGGGCTTTAAATGTGATGACCATGCCTAATCAGAAGTGGTTACAAAACCTGTAGACCACAGTGGCTATTAATAAAAATACACCAAAACCTCTTTAGTCTGTCGGAGCACAAAAACTTTTGGGGGGGGGGGGAAGTCTGCATGCATGGTTAGCTCTAACCCTCTTCCCGGACAGCACCAAAGCAGCAATCCAGTGGTTCAGGTTTTGATCTAATTAAGCTGGCAACATTTAGATTGATATGTAACTATATTGAAAGAAGCAATATGAGAAAAGATCATGTTGAAAATGGAGTCAAAGCTCCAATCTCCCCTTAATTTAAATAAATAAGCCTTTGTTTATGCCTTCATTTAGATTTTGCATTTGATTTACAGTAATCCTGGATAATGCGTTTTTCAGAATGTCACTTCAGTACAAGATTTGCTGTTGCTTTTGTGGTTTGTTTTCTTCGGCTGGAAAGAACGAGAGATATCGGTCTTGAACAGAAACTTTAATATAATTCAAATAGATTTGACCCACTAATCTTATATCACATCATATACAGCCATCAAATAATCCAACAAGTTTACCACATATCATGTTTTTTTTGTTCCATTTATATTGTGCATCCATAATATTCATGTAACTATAAAATCCCTATCCACCAATGTCAGCAGAAAATTATACCACACAACAGTAAATTTCATTAAGTAATATTTGCATACAAGTGTTGTTTGTTAATGTTCAAGTCACGTTTTTCATGTAAACTTTTTTTTTTTACTTTAAAATGCCTCTTAATTTGCATAAAGCCAGCCCCTATCTCCATATAAGGGAATTCTGCACAATGTCATCTGTACAGCTATTTGTCACTCTTTTGCAAATGTGTCCTTATGTTCTGCACTCTTCCCTGAGAGCGCACGCAGCAAAATCTTTAAATAAAACACATTTGCTCATCCGCACAGCATGGATATAACTTTTATTCCAGTGGTGAATGGGTTAAATACAGAAACTCTTGTTAGAATCACTGGAGCAGAACTCAGTAGACTTGTGCTGAACAAAAACACTGGTGTTTTCTGTGGATTCTAAAAAAACTAAAAAACCTCTGATTTGCGTTCATGCGCTGCGAGTGGCTCAACTGCAAAAACATACTGTATATAAATAGAAACCTTCACAGAGCACTCGCACCGATATGCACCGCAATATTTAAAAGCGGCAGCCTCTGGGCAGGAACCAAATTGTCAGTACTGCAAAAAGACCATCATTTGTTTTGGTTAACATTTCAGTATTGACTTGGTGCCGAATTACTGGTACTTTTTAAACAACTCTAAATTAAAGTGTGAACTTATTGATTCATCATCATTTCTGTGTGGGAACTTTTATATATTTTTAATTTTAGAGAATGAAATCCATAGAGAATTAACGTTTTCTGTACCCTACGGCCTATGCAGTGAAGTGTCGTGACTATTGAGTCTTGGATTGCAGACGCACTATCCATCACTTTGCATTTTTATCCGTAATGGATTTTTTGTTTCCCCTGCAGATGGCTCATGCCCCTTCAGCTGCCCGAAAGCAACCACGCGCCGCTACATCCAAAGCAGATGGGATATCAGACGAGGAGATTGAGAGACAGCTCAAAGCTCTTGGAGTGGACTAGTGCTCACACACACACCTGATTACTGCCTGGCAACAGGAGGCGACAGCAACACACAAACACGCATTAGAGTACATTCATACCCATTACAAATACATAGACACAGATGCGGATAAATGGACGGTCCAAAAGCTTACATTCACAGTCACGGACCTGCCTACTCTGGGATAACATGCCACAGATGGCAAATGCAATTTTATTTTTTTTATTATTTATTTATGACAATAAGAGAGATGACTATCGAGGTTGATTAGGACTCTTTCAGGTGAATCACTGTTTCATCTAGCTGTTAGAAGGACGAAAATAACAATAAAACGTTTGAATACACGCGTCGTAAATGAATACATGCAATGCCTTCCAGACTAAGGCGGATGAAATCTACAATATCTGTCTCTTTGATCCATAACTCAGAAAATCACATTGGTGTAAACAAGTTTGACAGGAGAACTCTACCTCTAAACATAAGTGACAGGGCTGCGTCTTTAGTCTTGCCGCGCTTTGTCTTGTCCTCACAGTACCTTGCTATTCTCTCGGCGCATAACAAAACACTTGTGTGAGTCACACCTTTTGTTTCTGTTCTCACCTTCGGTCCGTTTATGAATAGGAAATGATTTGGTTTGTCTTCTAGGTTCATTTTGGTAATTTTGAGTACGCATATTTTATTCAGCTGCTTTTCAGGGGTGATGCCAAATCGTGAGAAGTGTGTTCCGGTTGAGCACATTATTTGAAGAGGGTTGCTCTCCTTCGTTTCTCATGTGCCTGAAGTCTTGGGTTGACAGTGTGTGTGTTTTTTCTCTTGAGGCTGTGTAAGTGCATTGATCAAGACTTCAGAGATGCTCGGAAGGTTCCTGTTAATCGTCAGTTGTGACCAAAGTAAGGGTTGTTATTGCAGCGCTCTGTGCTTGATCTTTGGAGTTATCCACAAAAGTTGAATTTAGGCTGAGGTTGGTTATGCACTGCAATATATCGTAAGGATGTAAATAATGTAGGCATGGAAAGTTGATCGTTTATTGCTAAATCCACAGTGAGGGTTTTGGAATATGGGTGAGGATTTTCCTTTTTAGAATTTGTTCACTGACAGGTATTGTTCAAATATAAGGGGATTGTATACCCCATTAACCATGAATAAAACTTTTAATGATATCTCAGTGGTTTGTGTTTTGTTTTAAAATAGGCCTTTTGTGTACATAGAAAAAGTCTTAGATCTTTGAGTTGAGCTCACGAAAAATGGGGGCAAAAATTTTTTTTTATAATTTTGTTCAGTGTATATATGTTTCCACAAAAATATTAAGCAGCACAACTGTTTGCATTAAGATTTAATAACATTAAGATTATATTTTCATTAAGATTTTTCATTAGGAAGAAACGTTTGTGAGCAGCAAATCAGAATATAATGACTTCATATGACTGACGTCTGGCTGCTAAAAATTCAGCTTTGTCATCACAGGAATAAATTAAATCTTAAAATATAAGGCCTATTACAATAGAAAACCGTTATTTTAAATAGTAATAACATTTCAGAATATTACAGTTTTTACAATATTTTAATCAAATTAATGCAGCCTTAATGAGCCAGAATTCTTTCATAATTTTTTATATTTAATATATATATATATATATATATATACAGGTGCGTCTCAATAAATTAGAATGTCGTGGAAAAGTTCATTTATTTCAGTAATTCAACTCAAACTGTGAAACTCGTGTATTAAATAAATTCAATGCACACAGACTGAAGTAGTTTAAGTATTTGGTTATTTTAATTGTGATGATTTTGGTTCACATTTAACAAAAACTCACCAATTCACTATCTCAACAAATTAGAATATGGTGACATGCCAATCAGCTAATCAACTCAAAACACCTGCAAAGGTTTCCTGAGCCTTCAAAATGGTCTCTCAGTTTGGTTCACTAGGCTACACAATCATGGGGAAGACTGCTGATCTGACAGTTGTCCAGAAGACAATCAAAAATCTTACTGACCCAACGTTTTGAACAGTAATGTACATTGACCTGCATATAAAAATGTATCTGTTTTTTTCTTAGCGTTTAGTACAACATTTAAGATCAGTGTTGTCTAGATTTATTTATGGAAAATGTCCTCAAATTTGTGAAAAGTTAATAATATAATAATAGTTATATAAACAATAAATATTATATAAACAACCTGATATAACGCTAGGTACGCATATAACTGTGGTTCTGTGAATTCCGGATGATCGCCAGAGGCAGTGTAAACACTATTTATTATCGCAACACCAACAAAGTCACGAATGCTGAGCCCTGGGGAGTTATAAGCCACCATAGCTCAGCACTCTGCCTCAGTACGCCTTTCTCGTGCATTCTGAATGACCAAGAACTCTGGCAGCCATCCAGAATTCACAGAACCACAGTTACATGCATAACTAGCGTTCTGTTTCATTCCTCCTCACCACCAGAGGCAGTGTAAACACTATGGCTGACACATACCAACATAGTCATGAGGAATGCCACCCACCTGATGAAAATTAAGGCCGCTCCTGAAGAACCGCAGAACTAACGGCATGATGAGCAGCAACATTGACTTTATAAAACCGGGCAAATGTACATGGAGAAGACCAGGTAGCGGCAGTGCAGATATCCGCCAAGGAAACTCCTCTTAAAGGGGTCATGTGATGGGATTTAAATTTTTCCTTTCTCTTTGGGGTGTTACAAGCTCTTGGTGCATAAAGAAGATCTGTAAAGTTGCAAAGACTAAAGTCTCAAATCCAACGAGATATTCTTTATAAAAGTTAAGAGTCAACCACGCCTAACTAAAACGGCTCGTTCTAACACGCCCCCACATGACTACGTCACGATGTGGGAAGATTTGCATAATGCAGCCCAAATGTTCACGCAAAGAAAGAAGGCGTAACTTTTATTCTCGCTGTAGTATTGTTGTTGCCGCCGCCATGTCGTGTGTGTTTTGTTGTGAAAGAGAAACTACTTTGTTTGGCCTTCCAAAAGAGGACGATATCCGCTTCGTCATGCCTGGAGCTGATCCGTGCTAGTCGCTGAAGAAATACATCAACTTCGCGCTGTGGTTCGCCAGATCGGCGAGTCCAGACCGGGGTCGTCACATGTGGTTGCCGCAAGCCCGCCTCCACTCACTCTAGGCCTCTGGCCTCCGCTCACTCTAGCCCGCCGTGTGTGACGCTGTGTTTCGTTGTGAAAGCAAAACTACCTTGTTTGGCCTTCCAAAAGAGGACACGACTAGAAATCAGTGGTTTAGTTGTATTTACAACACTGTTCCAGAACAGTTCAATCCAAATATTCAGATGTGTCCAGCGCATTTTATGGAGGACTGTTTCCTGATCCTGGTAGAGTAGACTGGTAGAGTAGTTTTTGTCTCGTTGCTCCGGCCGGGAAAAGGCATCACAATATGGTAAGGGGCATAACATTTCCGTCACACGCTTGAGGTCTCGCTTTTCAGACCGAGGAGCTTTGTAAAAATCAACACATTTCAGAAAGGCGGGGCATAGAGGATAAACAATAATGTACAGTATGTGGAAAATAATGTGTTTTTTGAACCTTAAACTGCATAAACACATTTCATTACACCAAATACACCAAATAACGTTCTTTTTAGCAACATCATATGACCCCTTTAAAACAGCCCATGAAGATGAGATGGCCCTAGCGGAATGGCAGGTTAGTCTCCAGGGCAGTGGCCTCTGCTGCTTTGTAAGCCAGTGTAATGGTCTCCACTATCCAGTTTGACAATCTCTGTTCGACACTGGAACACCTTTCTTCACACCACCATAGCAGACAAATAACTGGTCTGTCTGTCGAAATTGAGTAGTAGAGCTCACATAGCACTTCAAGGCACGCACAGGACACAAAAGTTGGGCACTTGAATCAGACCCTGAAGAAGTCTGAAAAGAGGCCAGTGCAATGCGCTGGTTTATGAACTGAGGAAAAAGGACTTTCGGAAGAAAATAAGTATTAGGTCGTAGAACCACACAAGCACAATTTGTTAACAGACAGCGCGTGCAACTCACTGACTCGTTTCGCAGACGCGATAGCCAACAAAAAAAAGCAGTCTTCAAGGACATTCATTTAATGTCAGTGCTTTGCAAGACCTCAAACTGGGATGAGCAAAGGAACGTAAGCACAAATGGCAGATCCCACACAGGGAAGTGAGGAGTCCGAGCAGGGTTCAGACGTCGTGCACCCTTCAGAAAACTGCAGACAAGACTGTGAGATCCAAGAGAAGATCCACCAACTGGAGCATGATATGCAGCAATCATAGCGACGTAGACTTTCAACGTGGAAGCTGCCTTGCCCTCCTCCAGTAAATGCTGAAGAAAGTTTAAGATGCTCGGTATGTCACATGTTGCAGGATCAAGCCCCCGCTCCCCACACCATGCAGAAAAAAGCTTCAAACAGGAAGCAAAGATCTGTCGTGTGGAAGAAGCCCTGGCGTTAGAGATGGTATGGATATCCGCAGGGTCACAATGCTCCAGAGAAGGATTTAACCCAATGGCCAGACACAAATCTGCAGACGAGCTGGATCCGGATGCCAGACCCTTTCCTCCAGCTGGGAGAGGAGGTCCTTCATGAGGGTAAGTTTCCACTGATTGCCTGTCAGAAGTCTCAGCAACAAAGGGAACCATGGTCTGGCTGGCCAACGTGGTGCCTCGAGTAGCACTCTGTGTTTGCACAGGGAGATCCTGTGTAACATCTCCCATAACAGAGGGATAGGTGGGAACGCATATAGTAGGCAGCTCGGCCACTCGTGAGACAGTGCATCTTGGCCCAAGGGACTGGACACTTCCGTCCTTGCGAACAATAAATGACAGTGAGTGGTCATCTCATAGCCAGATCTCCTGCACTAAATCTGGATGAAGTCCCCATTCTCCTGGATGTACTTGATCCCTGGAAAGAGCGTCTGCCGTCTGGTTGCACACTCCTGGAATAGGAGTGCCCTCAGTGAAGCGAGTCGCGGCTGACACCATGTCAGGATCTCGTGAGTAAGCTGTAGAGACCTGCAAGATTTTGTGCTGCCCTGGTGGTTCAGATGGAACACTGTTGAGGTATTGTCGGACCGAACGAGAACATGGCGGCCTGCCAGGACTGACATGAAATATTTTAGAGCCAAGAACACGGCACATAGTTCCAGCAGATGGGTCGTTGTCCAGTGCCCGCAAATACCTCTCAGATTCCACGTTGCCCCCCACCCTATGAGGGATGTGTCTGTCGTGATCAGTTCCCGACGAGAGGGAACAACACCCAGGGGCACTCCTGCCTTCAGAAACTCTACCTGTCCCCACCGCCTCAACACACAGATGCAACAGTGAGTAATTACAACCAGCCGATGGCGATGTCTGGTGGGATCTAGTCGCAAACTGTTGTTCCATAACTGTAGTGGTCTGAGGTGGAGTAAACCCAGGGGAATCACCACTGTGGCCACTGTTAACATCTCTATCATCGCTATTATTCGCAGGACCACCTCATACTGCAAAGCCACACCCTGGCGAAAGCGAGCCAAAAGTTGCAGAATGTTTGTATGAAACAGTCTGCTGTTTCATGGGGACACAAAGAAGTCAGTCATCCAAATAGGGTAGAATATGCATACCTCTTATCCAAAAAGGAGAAAGAGCTGCACTCACACACCTTGTGAAGACGCGAGGAGCAAGGGAAAGCACGAAAGGTAGCACTTTGAACTGGTACGCTTGATTCAGGAAAATGAAATGCAGAAAATGTCTGTGATGAACAGCAATTGGGACGTGAAAGTATGCATCTTTTAGGTCGACACATACAAACCAATCGTCTGCTGTCACAGACCGAAGAACGTCGGCTGTGCGCAGCATTCGAAAAGCAAGGACCTCCAGGAACAAATTCAGGTGCCTCAAAACGAGAATTGGGCGAAAACCACCGTTCTTCTTTGGAACAAGAAAATATGTAGAATAGAACCCGTCTCCCTGAAAGAGGGGATGGACTTTTTCTATGGCTCCCTTCTCTAACAGTGAACAAATTTCCAGAGAGAGAGCCATTGCACGAACTGCATCTCTGACGATTGTAGGAACAATTCTTGGAAATCTGGGAGGCCGAAACTGTAGAGTATATCCCCTGCTCAAGAGTCGTCAAAACCCAGGGGTCTGCGGTGTTGGTCCTCCAGTACT